CTCTCTCCAGCTGTAGTAGCGCAGTTTTCCCCTCTTTCTTAACTCTGTTGTCCCCGACGCGCTACCCCTGTCTCTGCTGGGCTGGGCCTTGGCCAACGTTGGGTCCTTCTTGGAGCCAGCTGGCATTGGCTTCATCGGACATGTGGGAAGCTTCTGGCAACTTCTCACAGAACCCACCCGTGTAGCCCCCTGCTACCAAAACCTTGCCATGCAAATGCAGTACAGGGGGTTACCACAATGTCCTACGTGAGACATTAATTCGTGGACTTCCTCCTCCCAGATACTCCCACCCCAATGGGGAACAAGGAACAGCTACCTGCCAGACAATGTTGAGCATTAGTCCTGTGGCATGTTTGGTTCCAAGGGACTGTGTTATGAGAAATACATGTGTGTGTATCCCTGATTTTATTAATTTCATTTTTGCTAAAACATACCCGTTACAAGCAATAAATGAAGCTGCTGTCCAAAACTGAGATTCCCTGGCACAGACCTGCTTTTCTCACCTGTTGTTCTTCACATCCCCCATTCCCCTAGCTTCACTTCCACGCAAAACCTTCCACGAGGACTGACCTTGCGTGGTGAGCAAAATCTGATCCTGACAGAAAAATATAGCAGGAAGTTATGCAACATGCAGCTTCTGGTGTCAATTTTATGTTTGCCTATAGATACCTTTAAGTAATATTTTTCAAGGAGATGTGATATTTTCTTAGCAGGTTGAAGTTGAAGTTTACCGGAGAGATTCTAAGAAACTTCCTGGTCTGGGAGACCCTGACATTGACTGGGAAGAGAGCGTCTACTTGAACCTCATTTTACAGAAGGTAACAGTGATGCTTATCTAATTTTCATGGGCTGTTTATGCTAGAGAGGTTTTAGGGTAGGGTAGGCTTTGATCGGTCTGCTTTCCTCCCTAGCTTGGGGATTTTGACCACTGCTGGAGGATATAAAGAAAACATAGCTTTAATTTTGCCTCTCAGAGTCTAAATGAACATAAACCAAGATGCTTATTGTTTTTCAGTAGAGTCCTAATAGTTTTCCTCAAAAAACTTTAAATATATCTAGTGAAGCTGGGCTGAATTTTATGCTTTGTAACAAAGTTTTGCAAAATGAAAGGCTTCATCAAGTTTAATAGTTTTTGAGAGTGGACGAAACTGTTAGACAAGCAATATTTCCATTAGAGTTCACGATAGTGGTGCAGCTAAGAGGGAACTGCTAAGTGGAAATGCAGTAAAGGTGTTGTGTACTATACTGGGAGTTTGCTGCTCTTGACATCAGAACTTTAATAAAACTTTTTTTTTTTGGTTGGTGGAAACATGAGGCTAGCTCAAATTATTTCTTAAATTAACTCATAGGTTGTTTAGTTATTGCATATGTTACATTGGCGCTTAGGGAAGCTTAAAGTTACTATTGTCATTTGAGATCCCTTAAAGATTTTGTTGATCATGATCTCAGAATGAGAGACTGCTGGATCATTGCACACATCCTGGAAAATAAATTGTTTTCATTCTCTCTCCTTCCTCCCAAAACTCTCGTTGCGGAACTTCTCTGCAGAGAACAGTTTCCACCTTTATTTGATACTGAATAAAACCAGAACCTGTTTGCTACAGTCAGAATTCAGAGATGTTTTTACAGCTGGGCATTGCTGTGCAGAGCTGTCACGCTTGCTCCTTACAAGTTTTTTCAGGTTGTTTGGCAGGCTACGTTAATGGTTTCTGACCTCTCTAATGTGTTGCTTGAGTTCATTAGTGATTCTATTTTTCCCTTGTCAAAAAGAGAGTATCTTTTCCATTTCTACCTTCAGGTGTGCTTGTATGTGTGCCATGCTTGTTGCCCCAGCTGACCAGTAAGCTAGTGTTAAACAATATCGACAGGAGTTTCTTTATCTATAGGTTGTGCACGTCAGCAAGCATCTGTGCAAAAGATTTCAGTATCACTGAATTAATAAACACACACAGGCTTGAAAATTGTAGGAATTTCAGTATAGTAAAGGGAATAAAGCGAACGATAATACCAAAACATCTTACTTTTTAACCAGACAGCTAAAAAAATTTAAGACAGAATGTGTTCTGCTTCATGCACATGAATGTTCTGCTTTTCTAACCCTAAACCTTTATTTCTCTATCTGGTGCCCTGTTTTAGCTGGATTATGTGGTGACATGTGCTGTATGCACACGCTCGGATGGAGGAGATATTCACATTCACAAAAAGAAATCTCAGGTGAGATTACCCTGTTATTACTGTGGATAAGAGGTTGGCGTCCAGTACCAGGGCAATGGTTCTCAGGCTGTGCATCCTTGTGGAGCATCTCAAGTCTTTGTCTAGTGACATTTCCTGCCAGTCATCTAATCTGAGCTCTAAATGTCCTTTATAGCCCCTCTCAAAAAATTATAAAGCACTCTGCATGCTTTCAAGATTTATGTCTTTGCCTACTGGACTTTGGAGGGGGGGGCAGAGCTTGGGATGGAGTATGCCCAACTGTTAACTAATCTGAGGGTAAACCTGACATTGCATGAGACCTGAGTTATGAGAAGCCTTCAGGGTAAATCTGTGATGTAGGGCTATGAAATGGTAGACAATTTACTGATTACCAATTTATCTTTTTATTGTTTTATGAGATTCTTGTTTTGCTCATTCGTTCCATCTCCACACCGAAGGCTTTTATCACTTGCTTGTGTACAGCATACAGTTAATCCAGGGTTTAGCATGGTGGAGGAGACTGCATAATAAGCATGGAGGGGACAGGAACAAGAAACCCCAGACTTCTTCACCCAGTTCCCAGCAGATCTTGCAACAACTTCTCCTAGTTGGCAGAAATTCTTCTTTAAAAGACTCCTGTTGCCTTTTAAGGCTGTTTCTCCCAGGCATTTCCATTCCTTTAGCTCATTCAGCTGCTTGTGTGGCTTTACCTAAAATAAACCAATGCTCCTGCATCCTTTAATATTGTTTTACCATTTTAAAACAATTGTCGCTTTGCCTACAAACAAAACTAGCAATGCTGATTATTGTATTTGTAATTTGCATTACTTAGGCACATAATTCCCTTCTGGTGCTGTTGAGACACCACATTACACCACTGATGTAAGCCTTTTATTTCTCATTGCTTTTTCCACTGTTTTCTTGTCCAGATTTCACCCCCAGTTAACTTCTGCAAAATTCTTTTGAGAAAAATCTGTAAATATTACTTGCAGATTTGAAAACTAGGAAGAAGAGGATGAGTGACCTACCCTCACTGTGTGTGAGCAGTGTTCAGAATAAGGAGGAGGTTTTCTGTTCCTCGTTCCTAGAGGCTCGTGCTGTGGGACTGCTTATAAATGTTTCTTTGTCGGTTTTCTGGGAGAAACTGAGCACACATTAAAACTTACCAATACGTACTAGTAACATTTCAACATCATCAAGTTGATATATGGAGAGAGAAAAGGCAGTTCTACATTGTGTGGAAAGCCTGTTTGGAGTAGGGCATTTCATTTTAACATGCACCATTGAGGCTCTTAGTTTTAACAAAAGCCAGCTTTTTCGGATCTGTATTACTGCTGTGATAGTTCTTGCTTTAGAAGGTGTATATTACCCTGTCAGCATGCAGCCAGATGTTGAATAGGTAGAAGCCCTATTCAGGCACAGGACTTGCTGTACTACTCCAGACGTGTGGCAAAGCTGCTGCATTCATACCAGTAGAGTATCTAAGGCTGGAAACCAGTGTAAAAAAGGCTGACTTTCCTCTAAATTATTTTGCAGACTACATTGATTCTCTGCTGGCTTGGCAATAAGATATCTACAAACTGTATTTTTCTCAGGTGTGTCTGACTGGAGATGAGGTTTTGGGGAGGGATGGGGACTGATTTTTGCTTTACATTGGGCAGCATGAGAACAAGGATCCCTGGAAGATGCCCTTGTTTCAGGCATTGGTGCAAGTGTTATCTTTGAGGAGTCTTCTTACTTTCTAATGTTGTTTCTTGTCATAAAGCAACCTTTCTTTTTAATAATCTGTATTTAAATGTGCATGTAGGCTTCATAAGTACAAATAAGGAAAAGCAACCCTCTCGTGAATGTCTAATATCCTACCCTTAGTTGTGTTTTGTGTTGAATGGTTTGTAGCAAGAGTATCACAAGCCTGACAATCTGGGCAGTTTCAGAGCTTTCAACACATTCACAGTGGGCTAAGATTTGACAGGTTTCTTTAATTCAAAGCTTTGTAAATAGAGGTGGAAGCAAAGAAAGCTACTTGATGTGAATTCTTCTCCCTTTTTACCTCCTTGTTCATCTAGTTGGAATGATAAAATCTGAAGCCTTTAGCTATTTAAACATAGGTGGTTTTGAGGAGTAAAGAGACCAAAGGAGTTCAGGAACTGCTTCAGAGGGAAGAATTTGCAAGGGGAAGCACAGTGGATAGAGAAAGAAACATAAGCAGAAAATGACAATGAGAAATCAAGTGCTTGTCCTCCTGAGGCCATGCTTCCCATTACTGAGTGATGTTGATCTTATCCTGGTACTAAGCAACCAATAACAATGAAATTAACTGTACAAGCAGAGAGTCTTAGGTCAGCTACTTCAGGGTAACTTTCTTGCTGTGTGTGCTTTTACTTTGCAGCACATAGCAGTAACTTAAAGGCAGCTCGAGGTGGTTTTCTCTGTTAATGAAAAGGAGGATACCTTAGCTGTACCATAGGATGGTGAGAGGTCAGGTACACACAGCGACGTTTACTGTGGAGCAACTAGTATTTGATAACCTGCATGTGAAAACTCAAGGATTTCACAAGAGTTCTCATTATTGCAAAACAGGCTGTAGTCAGAAACCAGCTCAGCTTTGCCTGCAGGATGTCCAGCAGCTCTAGCCTAAGTGACTGACTGAGCAGTGTTGGATTTGTGGTGTTTTGGCATTGCTTGCCTTATATTCAGTGCATCCATTCCTGAGCACATTTAACTGAGAAGATGTATTTTTTTTCCCCTATCTTTCTCAGCAAGTGTTTGCATCTCCTAGCAAACACCCAATGGACAGTAAAGGAGAGGAGTCGAAGATCAGCTATCCCAACATATTCTTTATGATTGACAGTTTTGAAGAGGTGAGTTCCTTGTTGCAGCAGCAGAGTTTTGTCCTATTCTAGTCTTATGTCCTGATTAGCTGTTTTCTCATACCTTTTGAACAAATGTTCTTGAGTAACTGAGGGTTATCTTCCAGTAGTTTTTATTTTATTTGACCTTTCACTTTCTTTAAAGCTGGATTTTGGCATCTGTCTTTACAATGCGCTGAAGCAAGACAGGCTGATGTGAGAGCTGCTTATCTCAACACGTGATTTGCAGTGTCGGCATCTGTCTTTACAATGGGCTGAAACAAGACAGGCTGATGTGAGAACTGCTTATCTCAACACGTGATTTGCAGTGTGCACTGCCTGAAGTCTGGTTTTTTTGAACAGCTGGGGTGGAACATACAGCTCCCTTGCTTTCTACCATTTACATTGAAACTGCCTAAGGGGAATACACTGCCTGAAGTCTGGTTTTTTTTGAATGGCTGGGGTGGAACATACAGCGCCCTTGCTTTCTGCCATTTACATTGAAACTGCCTAAGGGGAATCATGGGAATTGGAATATATTTGAACTTTAACAGCTGCAGTTTGCCTTGAAGTGTTTCATCTTGCGTCTTTGGCAGGTTTTCAGTGACATGACTGTGGGAGAAGGAGAAATGGTCTGTGTGGAGCTGGTGGCTAGTGACAAAAGCAACACCTTCCAAGGGGTGATCTTTCAGGGGTCGATCCGCTATGAAGCACTCAAGAAGGTCTATGACAACAGGGTAAGGTGCTTCTAAAGGACAATGTCCTTTGCCACAATGATACTCTGACCACAGTTCTTCTTTGCTGCTGAGGTTGTTAGCTTTTTGACCTGTTAGATCACCTGCATCGTAGTCTGTCTTTTTTGGCTTTGAAATTTACCTGAAAGCTAATGCTTTTGGCTCAGATGGCTGAGAGTATTCAGATCGGGATATATTACTCTGGTGTTTGCCAAGAGGAGAGAAGTTGATAGGTAGTCAGGAGCGTGACACAGGAATGGATCTGAATTTCAGAGTTCTGGGAGCCCCTTTCATTTTCTTGAAAGGTCATAGATATTTCTAGTTACTTCAGAGAAGGCATGTTGTGCAGGGAGACCTTAAATTCTGATAACTACCTTGCTATATGTAAAATGTGTTTTTCTTAAGTGTGTTTTGTACTCACAGCTATTTTTAAAAGACCACTATAGTTTCACTGCTACAGAAAGAAGGTTTCTTTGCTTTCCTACAGAAATATGAAATGCCATCACTTGCAGCTTCAAATTCAGTGTTGAAGTCGAGAGAGCACAAGAGCCAATAAACCTCTCAAACAGTTTGTTATGAAGACAGTCCTGAGAGATCTTAAAAAACAAACAACAAAAATCCCCACCGTATCTACTGTGACTGTAAACTTCATTTCCCTTTGTTCCTACCCTTGTCAGGAGAGGTCCTGAATAATTTCCCTTCTCCATGTTTTAAATTAGAGTAGTGATACTCTTCTAGCAGTTTTTCAAGAGAATATGAAACTGAAATTATTTCTCTGTCCCACCATCATCTTGCGTCCTCATGCAATTAGCAGGTGGGTTATTAAAATACATGGGAATGCAGAATCACTAAAGACAACACAAGAAGAAAGCCCTGCAGTGGAAAGACAAGATATGATGTGGTAAAGTCGCCTTATAGCCTAGGAGTGTCCTGTTTGACCACACAGCTGCTTTACATTGTTTTGTTAGATGAAATAAAATTGTTAACTCTTCAAATACTGAATTACGGCTGAAGACAAAACGGGAAATTTGACCGTTCTTTTAACAGAACAGAAGTATCTCTCTATGCTTTTGAAGGTTACTTGATTTCAGTTGTATCAGGGGAGGTTTAGATTGGATATTAGAAAAATTTCTTCACTGAAAGGGTTGTCAAGCATTGGAACAGGTTGTCTAGGGAAGCAGTTGAGTCACCATCCCTGGAGGTATTTAAAAGATGTGTAGACGTGGCACTTAGGGGCATGGTTTAGTGGGGAACTTGGCAGTGCTAGGTTAACGGTTGGGCTCAATGATCTTAAAGGTCTTTTCCAACCTAAATGCTTCTATGATTCTTAGTATGATAGGAGTTGTGTTACATGATAGGCATCTTGGCCCTTTCAGGCGATAAACTGCTGCAAGCAGAGATAAACCACTTAAACTTATGGATAAGTCCTACTTATTTCCCTTGGCAAAACCTTGACTGTTTTCATACTGGTCTGTTCCTTTTTTCAGTTCTCAGTTCAGTTTTCAGTTCAGTTGTGTTAACTGGAAATTGAGCCCTTCTGTCTGTTGAGAGTGTTCAAAAGGTGTCAGGGTTTTGCGGTGAGCAGTGTGATGCAGGTTAGCTGTGCATGGGGGCTGGTTCCTTATGCTATGGCCTTGACAATGTGGACGCACAAATGTCCAAATTGACTTGCCACAAAGAAGTGCCAGAATGGGTTAGTTGTGCATGGGGGCTGGTTCCTTATGCTGTGGCCTTGACGATGTGGACGCACAAATGTCCGAATTGACTTGCCACAAAGAAGTGCCAGAATCGTGTAGTGCTCTTTGCTAATTTGAAGTATCTTGTGTCTGCATCTGTTGCTTTTTGGACTCAAACAAGTGTCCCTGCACAGGCTGTGTTGAGTTGTGCACGGGCCTGCTTGTATTCTGGTGTGCCGTGTGGGTCTGGATTAAAAACCTTTTGTTTTATCTCAGCGTACCATTGGGTAACTCTGCCTTTTGGATAGCAGAAAGAGTTGAGTCTTCTCTGAGCCTCTATTTTTGTATCTGTAAAATTGCTTCTGTCTTGGAGATCACTTCACACTGTGGCTTAAAATGCTTCTTGAGAATTAAAATAATGATCATTATCCACTGTATTTTTCACTTCTTAGATAACTGCTTTCCAAGAATGTTATATTTTTTTAAACATGGAGATGATATTACACGTTTTTCTCTCCTGTCTTGATGCATTGTAGGTGAGTGTTGCAGCTAAGATGGCTCAAAGAATGTCTTTTGGCTTTTATAAATATAACAACATGGAGTTTGTCCGAATGAAAGGGCCGCAAGGGAAAGGACATGCGGAGATGGCAGTGAGCAGAGTTTCTACTGGTGATACTTCGCCGTATGGGACAGAAGAAGATTCAAATCCAGAATCCCCAGTGCATGAGAGAGTAAGTAGCAGAGAGAAATACTGACTTAACCTTAAGCATGAATATGTTTTGTTCCAAAGCCAGTAGACGGATTGAAACTGGGATAAACTCACATCAAGATTCTGAACTTAGGTTTGCCTATGTATATTTTGAACATACTCAGTATATGCAGATGGATTTTTAGCACAGTTTTCCTTGAGCAAATACTGAATACAGAGATGGCTGGATGATTCATACTTCTGGAGGAGTGTTTTGTTGAAACAGCAGCAATGTTGATGCCAGGGAAAATGATGATTCTGCCTGTTTTCTATGAAAATTAATAGATTCCATTTCTGTACGGGATGGAATTTATGTAGAAACGTGGAATTTGTATATTATGTAGGTTGCTCGCTGTAAACCTCACAGGAAATGGTACTGTTAGGAGACTTTGCCACTGATGAATGCTGCCAATGTGAAGCCTGTACAATGTTAAAGCAAAGATTATGGATCTAGATGCAGTACCATATTTATGCATATCCTTAATTTTAATGCAAGTGCAGCAAAATACCGATAGAATGAGCCAATAAATGCTGATATGGCCCTTACTCAGTCCTAAGCCTTGTTTTCCATTAAGGCCTTTTACCTAGTTAATGGGAATTAGACAACATGTCTTCAAAATACCTGCACAGATGTGTGCTGGTCTGGACTGGGTAGTTCCTGTGGATTCTAGTCTGGTTTCTTGTGTAACATAGCTAACCTGTGTAGTTTAAAGATCTGCAGGACTGCTTCTAAATGTCTCCATGCAAGCTGTTTGATTTTTGTTTCTGGATTCTTAAAAGGCAAAATGAGCTGTCAGCGCAGAACTCGTTAACTGGTTGTGTTTGCTCTCTGCCACAGAGATACAGCCTGGAGAAATCAGGCCTGAAGGGATTTCCTGATCTTTTGGCTCCATGACTTCCAGTGTCAACTGGACATTGTCAAAATAGATTTGATAATGTATTATCATTGCTTTTTGCTAATGGTTTTAATGATGATTTGTCTGTTTCTGGTTTTCCCTCCAGCTGTGATATGAAATGGCTATAGAATTAAAAATAGAGGCAAGCACAAATTAGAGATCAAGTGCACTAAAGAGAGAATCAGTTGGGTGGTAGAATGCTTCTACTTTTTGTTTGTTTGTTTTTTAAATGTTAACAGTAGAGGGATGACGCTAGAGTATTTCTGCAGCGCAACACCAACCTGGCTTGGCTGTCATCCTCACTCACGTGTCACCTCCCTCCTTATTTTTGTGGACAGATACGAGCAGTATCAGGTGTCATCTCAGGGAGAGTTGTGGGATTGTTAAATTAACTGTGTGAAGAAGGAGGGATGAGGTATAAGTTACTCATCTCCATTAGCAAAGTAGTTATCCCTATTTTTTTTCATTTGAAATGAAACTATTAAAATATTACTAGCGAAACCAGTACATAAGCACTGCACTTCAGTTCTTTCTGAAATAGGTATGGTTGACTATAGTTGTGGTTTACTCAAGAGGAACTACTGCTCTGAAGGAAGGGTCTCTCTATAGTTTCGTCCCCAACCTATGTTTCACCATAGACAACTAGATCCTTGTATTTGTCATCACTTAGACTAACCAAATCATTGGGGCATCTCAACTTGTTTTTATCTGTCCTATATTGAAATATGATATACATGTAATTGTACGTTGACTTCACTTTTGCGTCAGCATCTTGGGCTAAGTAATTGCCTTGTGACCCTGCTTCACAGAGACACTGTGACCTTTCACAGTGATCCCATGTGGCATCCTTCTAAGCAGGGAAACTACTACCTTGTGTTTGCCAAAGAAATGAAGATACGCAATTTTAGCGTGTCCAATACAATACATTCTTAGCCTACTAAGTCTTCTGAATTTCAACATGCAAAAATGAGAGAGAGCTTTTTCTTTATTCAGGTAACAGTTGAAGGTGGTGATATATCGAAATATTTTCATCTTGATGAGCATCTTGAAGCCAAGATGACTGTTCATTTGACATTCTCTGGCCACTCTGATAAAACTTACAGCTAGACACCAGTCATGATTCTGATTTTTACACATGTGACTGCCTCGTGGTTCATATTTGAGATTGATTATTCTTACTAGAAGCACGGAATTTTTTAAACAAAACTTTCTCTAGCATTGCTTCTGTTTCCCTTTCAGGTCACTTCTTTCAGCACACCGCCAACCCCAGAACGCAACAATCGCCCATCCTTTTTCTCCCCATCCCTCAAGAGAAAAGTGCCCCGAAATCGAATTGCTGAGATGAAAAAATCCCACTCGGCAAATGACAGTGAGGAGTTCTTCAGGGATGATGATGGTGGAGGTAAGAGAAGTAGTATCAGCTAAACAGACTTGTCTGGAGAGGGCACAGAGCTATGGAAAGGGATCCCAATGCCAGATTTTCCAAAAGGTTTGCAATGTGAAAAACCTAGCTCCACAGAATGTCCAACGCCAGTGCCAGTCTGAAAATGGGGTTATTCACAGGGTTAGCATCTTTTTGAAGGCTGGAAACCAACAATTCCTACATATGTTTAAAACATACCTCCTCCTTTTTTATAGACCTATTTGAGAGAAACTTAAGCAGGAGAGGTCCTCCCCCTTTGACAGATACCACACTCGGGTGGCACTCTCTCAGCTATCACAATAGAGTGGGTAGAGCATGCTCTCATGGACAAGTTCTCTGAATTCCCTGATTTGATCCAGAGTTGGTTAAAGTTGGTGAAAAGGCATTCACTTCAATTGGTTTTGGATCGGTTCTGAACTCTCTAAAAAGAAAACCTAAGGAATTTGTTTATATAATGGTTTAAAGCCTTGTGGAACTCTTCCTTTGAATTCTAGTTCCTCAATATGAAACAAAACAAGATAAAAAACTGAATCTGGTTCAGACTATAGTGTATAAATCCAATCATATTGCAGTTCTGTTAGGCGGGAAGCTCACAAATGTTGACGTCCAAACTGCTTTTTGTATGTTTAAAAACAATTTGGTAGAAAAGCCAAAAAAACCTTAACTATCTGTTGGCATGCCACAGTGGATAAACACAAAGGTAATTTCCAGATCACGAGTTCTGTTTGTAGTAGCAAAGGTATTACCTATCAGCAGTACTGGACCAGCATAGCTAATAAAGAATTGCACATTAAAAAAACAAGCTTAAGTGATAATGTTTAATTCAAATTATGTGCAACTTAAACTGGTTGCAACTAATTCAGGGTTCTGTCAATAGAAACTTTTGCTCATCTCTTTTTTTTTCTTAATTTGCCTAGTCAGAGCATCTATTATTTCAAATGAGATGTGTTTTAGCATGTTCTACTAAGCAAAGGGTAGAGCTTGGGTCAATTATTACCTAGTGTGGGGAGAAGGGCAACTTTCCTAGAGGGAGTCCTGCTTTTGATATCTTTCACCTGGAGGCTGCACAGTACAGAATGGGGTTCAACGCATTTATCTGGCAGCCCTCGTGGGTGGTGGTAGTGTCTGCTCGGTATTGTTTTGCAGGGTCTGATCCTAGCATACTTAATCATAATGATGAACATTCTTATTATTTTCATTTTCTTTACCTTCTAATATATTTACGGAAGTAAGCAAATGCCAGGTTTTCCAGACATTTTATAGCATGCATAGAAAATACCAAGAAATGTGGTTTCACTTAGTTATAAATGTTTTGACCTTATTGCTCCTGGTCCTAAAAAGAAATAGAGGAATATTTTAACAGCTTATGCTAGGAATTTTAATTTATTCAAATATGAGATTTCTACAAGGAGAAGTAACTAAAATGAGATTTCTTCACAAATTCCAGAAACCTGAGTGTCCTACCAATGTCTTCTCAGGAGCTGCATTGGTGAAATTCTCTTGTTTCAGAGGGAAAAAGCTGACTTCAAAAAGGCCATCATGGGGTGAACTGTAGAAGCAGAGATGTTTGGGTACATCTTGGCTTTGTGGGTGGAGGAAAACTGGGTTGTCCAAAGATCAGCAGTGTCCTTAGTCTGCTGCAGAGCTGCCCCCAGTGCAGATAGACCTGCTGTGGACAAGAACAGCCCATGAGGGCCCACTTCACTTGCTTTTGCAATGTGCAAGGATGATACAGCAGGAGAATTGTGCTTAGTCCAGCTACCAGAGTCAAGTCCTTCTGACCTGATCACCACAGTGCTCTTGGCATAGTGGTAATGAGTGGGGAGGGGGAATAGACTTCTTGGCTATGCACACTTACAGGGAAGGAGGGAAAACAAGATACAAATTTTTTTTTTCTGGGATTTTTTTCCCTCCCACACTGTTATGCATCTTGCTAGAGTAGCTGCCACTACATATTCTTCCTTTGCTAGGACCTCTTTGTTTGCCTTAGGACCCACTTTTAAACAAATGACTCCCAGAGCTTGGATCCCTCTGGTCCAGAATTGTTATGTTCACTTCAACATCTGCTTTTAGCACTGTGGGACAGGGCTGAGTTTTACAGGGGAATAGAGGGAAAGTTAGAAATACTCAAAAAATGCAGCATGTGCGTTCCTGGCTGTGGGAGAGACCTGCAGCTATAAAAACCGCCTCTAGCTTACTAGTGGTCTCAGTATCTTTTTGTTTTAAAAGTTATTTGTGGACCTCTAACCTAATTATGAGAAGAATGGCACTGCTGAAGGGTCCTAGGTTGGGCTTGGGGAGTGCATGGAGATCTGCCATAAACTGGCGTATTAATACTGACTCTCCCCTTGTCTGGCAGATGTCAATTTTCTTCATAAGAAACACTTTTTTCTTCTGTTACACTTGTGAATTTCTGCATCAGTAACTACTTGATTTTAGGGATATGCTATTATTTTGTGTATGAGGGAAGGCTGGATTAGGGTTCTGCTTGTGCAGTGTGGTAGCAAAAGCTTCATTTCCCTCTCCTGGCTGGTCTATTAGCAGGTGAGGGTTTACAAATGGTGCCAGCTGCTACAGTCATTCGTTAGCTTCAATGTAAATGGTGAATTCTGTGCTAGGCAAGATCTGACTGATTGTAAAAAAAATAAAAATAGTAATAATAGTATCCTGCATGTGACTTATCTCTAGACAATAATAGTACACTTTCAGGGTTTTTTTTTTTGACTTTCAGAAGTGTTCCAATGAAACGTGAAAAGTACAGTCACTTTAAGCTTGCTGTCTTCTACCTTTACAGATCTGCACAATGCAACAAATCTGAGGTCGCGGTCCTTATCTGGAACGGGACGCTCTCTGGTGGGCTCGTGGCTGAAGCTGAACAGAACAGATGAAAACTTTCTACTCTATGCACACTTAACATACATCACTTTGCCATTGCATCGAATTTTAACAGGTGAATTTTAACGTGTATTACGCATATACGGAGAGTCCTTTGCTTCCCAGCCAGCCTTCTGTGTTGGGGGGTGTTGCTGTTAAGACAGAAGAACAAGTTTTTCTCTGTAAGGGAACATCACTTCACAGACCTCATTTGCTGACTGTAGCAGCAAATCGGTATGAGTAAGTGGAATGATGTCAGCCTATTCTCTGACTTTGGGCCAGTTTTGCTTGGTGATGGTTCAAACAAGTTGGTAGTTTGTACTAACAAATGTCCAGAGGAACACTAGTGGCTTTAATATTGGAATATAAAGTTCATCCATCTCCGTGCAAGGCAACTCATTGTAAGCCCATCCACTGACAGCAGTAGTTGTAGCAGACACTTGTGACTGGGAGGGTTACAGAAAGGCAGCTCTGGAAATTGGAGTGACCTCCTTTGCCAATTTTGACTCTTAGATGTGGTTTCCATATAAGTTGCTTGGACTGATCGGAGTGCCCACACTGATGCCTGTAAATCTGTCAGATGCCAAATGTCTTTAACTAGACATAATGATGTTTGCGTATCGTACCATGAATAATCAGTCCCCAATGTCATTGATCTAGCTATGCCAATTACTGCATTGATGACAGCCATTTGTTCAGCTGGGCTAGGATAGCACAATAAGTTGAGGTTTGCAATCTGCAGGCAGTAATGAAGTTGATTTTCATCCACGTAACTCATCTGCCTACAAATACAGGTGGACTAGAGAAAACAACAGGTCTGTTTGAACTCTATCCATCAGCAAGCCTGCTAGCCTTTCAGGGATACAGCCTGCAGTGTAAGAATGCCCATGGGACTCTTGAGATACTTCTGAAAAATGACAAAGCAGCGGTGGTTAAGGGCTCTCTCCTCTGTCTAAATGTAGTGACAATTTCTTTCATACAGATGTTACTAGTGTCTGCTGCTGAAAACATACTTTGACCATCTTGGGCAGACAGAAAGTTTGATCCAGCTGTACAGTAGTATCTCAGGCAAAACTATTGCTGAACTCCGAAATCTGGACCAGAATAAAGTTATCATCCCCTGGAATAAAGTTATGACCCCAGTGCAATGTAAAGTCCTGTCTCTAACGTTGGAAGATCCTTAGAACTGTTTCAGCCTCTAAGAACTTCATATTTTTGTCCCATCCAGCAGATGGGATGACGTCTGAATAGGTTTGTCTGGATTGTGGGCTTTTCATCGGTGCCTGCTTTTTCTTGTCTGGGTCTAAAAAGAGAACACACCTGAAAACACACCCAGTCTGTTACACAGCGGTTGTTTCTAGTTTGTTCCTGAAAGGCAGCTAAGAGGAAAGGAGTTGGGAAATCTGTTGTTAAACAGGTTAATCTACTGTTAAAAGAGATGAGAAGATAGTATGGGTATTAATGTCATCAGTTGTACGATGCTAGTGTAATAGTAATAGCTGCAGTCTTGTCCCCATTTGCTGGCTAAGACCTCAGAGCCTGTTGCAATAGTAGACTGGCTCTTACTCTGCAGAAAAGGAAATTGTAGCTCATAAGGTAAAGGTGGAAATTATACTTAGCAAAGAGGTGTTTCTACATTTGTCCTTTCACTGTATGTAGGGATTGATTTCAATTTAGAAGAAATTACAGATTCCGTTAAAAATTGATCCTCTGTAATTAAGGGTGGCTTTTGAACAATGATTCAGCAAAATACGTAATTATTCCTTACGATCATTGTGTTGATAATCTTCCAGCTAGTTAGCTGCAGTTACCCAGCTCACTCACTCTCTCACCACAGGCATTCTGGAGTTCACAGAAGACGTATTGTTCCTGCTGGCATTTCATACTTGCTCAAATGGGTGGCATAAATGCCTCCATGTTCAAATATTTGCTTTGAGCTTGAACATCCTTTCTGAGATTTAATTTGTTTAACATACGGTTGCAGGAGTCGGCGTATATATTGAGATGCACAGAAACAGGACATGAAATGTCTGGGCTGTAAGGCAGAATTTTATTCTGCAGTTTTTCACTACCCATGTTTGCTTTAGCTTGGCACATCATGTAGAGCTCGTTTCCAGTGCCTTTTTGTAATTAATGCATTTGTGCCAGTGGCAGCTTTCCAGCAAGTGCGAGCATTACACGTGGGGCAGGACGAAGTGGGAAAGATGCTCATCTCCCTTGGCTGGTTTAGGAAGCCTATACTAAGAAATTAAAATCCCAGTGATAGTGATCGAAGTACATTTTAAAATGTCTGGAGTTTATACATATTGATAAGACTTCCTTCTCTCTGAGCCTTCTCTCCATGCTAGATAATCCCAGTTCTGTCAGCCTCTGCTTGTATGCCAGATGCTCCAGTCCCTTAATCATCTTTGTGGCCCTTCACTGACTCACTCCACTGTGTTTCATTCTTTGTAAGTGTGGCTAGAGCCCTCTGGAGCTGTGGATCAATTTTTACTCACGTCATCCTCTTTGTGCAGCTGTGTGTGATCAGCCTCTTAATTAAGCGAGTGCTCCCTTTTCCCATGTTCTTTATTCTCTGTGTAGCCTTGAAAAGGACATAGCAGCCCAGTTTCCAGATATTTCTACATACTGCTGTGCCAGCATGCTGATTTTACCGTCCACATTTGGAAAGATGCCAGTGATTATGACGGATGTTTTACAGGTTCATACTCTGTCACATTTTGACAATACGGAGCTGAAGGACCGACAAAAGGAGTGGGTTTTGTGGCAGCTTTTTGAGTGCAAAAGTGTAGGCTTCAGGCTGTAGAATGGATGAAACAGTTGAATTATTTGTACCCACATCTTCAGAGCCAAAAGTCTCTTTAAAGGTCTTGGGGATGGTGCATTTCTCCCTTCAAGAAGGGAAGACCCTTGGCATCTCCTGTAATGACACTTCCACTCGTGTCTCGGGAAGATTACGCCACTCTGTGTCTGACACATGGTGCTTCATCCCCCTATAAATGATACTTAGTACATCAGCCGTCATCTCTGCATGATGAGATGTATTTGTGGCTCACCATCTCTCAACTAGGATGCGGCTGGGGAGGACTTAAATTGGACTTTAACAGGCAAAGTCACATAGTGTGTTTTAAATTCCTTTAGCGGCGTAACAGCGAGACTGTGCTGCAGTCCACAATTGCGTCTCCGGTTCTTCATGCTTTCTGGTACTGTGGCTGCTTTCAGGAGCCTCCTAAGTTTGCTGTATCTCTTTGTTTCTCTCCCTTGCCCAGATATCCTGGAAGTGCGGCAGAAACCAATTCTGATGACATAGCAGAGAGCGGGCACTGCCTTGGAGCCTTGTTGCCAAGTGCCTAACCACAGCGGTTTTCTGTGCTAACACTACCATCTAGTGTCAGGAACATAAACCTCCGCAGGAAAAAGGGAAGTCCAAGAATACCAGCCGATCAAAAGTGCCTCTTTCTTCCTTCCTCTGCTGTCATACACCGTAGGCCCACTTGCAGTACATCACTTGAGCGTTTCCGACTGGAAGAGGACTTTCAGCAAGATAAAACGAGAAGGGGCTGTGTTTAAAACGAGTCAACACTTTACGGACAGTTTGTTACTGTGTTTATAACTAAGAAACCAACAATATGTACAGAATGTGTCAACCTTTATATTCTTTGAGAGAAACAACCTGAGAATTTCATAATGATGTACTAATGAACGTCGTTCCATAGACTCTCGCCCATACACTCTCCTTGTCGGTTTGGCTTAATGTGTGCATGAGCGTGTGTGCGTGCGTGTGGGGATTGGAAGGATGAGAAGATAATCTCCTACTGAGGGAGGAAAAGGAAAAAGATGCTACAAAGATACATGACCATTTTGGTACGTGCAGCGGGTCAGGTCAGAGCTTAAAAGAGGCTGAAAATCTTCCCATTTGTGTGTCAGTGTTAGGACAGGTGAACTCTGCTGACAGATTTCTGTATCTACCAAAGAACAGCAACATTTTCATCCTCAAGAACTGGCTAAGAAAATGTGCCAGTGAAAAGAAGGCTAAAATGTGCTGCTATAGTAAAGCCGAGGTTCCTACTCAGTACTAATGCTGCTTCTCTCTCTGTGTTAGCTGAGTCAATACAAGTTTGAGTCTAAAGTGCAAAAATAGGAGGCCATAATCGGACTCCAAAACCTAAAAACCTTACCAATAACCAAGATCCTCCTGCATGCACTGGACTTCAGAGTACATAGAGTCGTCCTTGCGATAGCGTTTGTAGCCAAGGCGGGCATGAGAGCTGATGAATGGTCGGGCAGCTTGCCTGGGTTCTTCATCTCCTGGTGGTGTTTCGCTGTACTGTGACTTGCTGAAGCATGGAGAGTTTTCTTGAAAGAGAAAAGATTGAAATGTAATTCTGCTCTGAAAAGTGACTAAAAATTGCATAATGCGAGGTCTGAAAATTGTGTGTCAGGAGCTTTCAGAAAAAAAGCCTTATGTTTACAGGTAAAATGCAGCTTTCTCTAAATAGCAAAACTCTGCTGTCCTTGACATTTGAACGCTACGTGATTGAATACTGAGACTACTGCAGTCTGGTTCACTGTTTTGATATGGGAGCCAGTCAATACTTCAGTTTATTTACAACTGCATAACTGGCACAGCAAAGGGTGGGATAGTGTGTTGCTTAGAGCATGTGAGACTCCAGTATACACACAGAGGGAGAGCGAAGATGCCATTTTTGTCACTTTTCAGACTCTGAGCACCTAAACTTCATGCTATTGCCACAGTTACCAAATGGCGTGTGCTCTGAGCCTGGACCTCTGTCTCCCTCGTATCCAGCCTTTTCCAAAGTGCTTTGTTGTTGTTCTCTCAATAGCATCTGGTGACTTAACCTCTCAAATAGGACTTTCTGCTTTTTTTCCTCAGGCCAGATGCCATGGGAATAGCTCCACTTCAGCATAAAGGTAGACTAACTTTATCATTCAGCCCAGCATGGTGAATCCAGCATGGTAAGGAGGTCTTTTTTTATTTCAGGCTAGGCCCAGAAACAGTCACCTTAGTGCAGAGAGATGGCATTTCTAACACAGGCAGTATGAGTGCATGACAGAGACGGCTGATCAGTTTTTAGTTCGCTCCAAACGTGTTACAACAGCATTAGAAAAATGTTCACTTTGTCATAACCAGCACGTTGCAGCCTTTGAACTTTGCTCCGTGGGAGCGTGTGGTTGTGCGTGTGTGTATGTGAGGGTGTTGACATGGTCTAACCTGAGGCATGTAACATGGGTGCCTAGGCTTTCTTCCTGAGCCGGAGGGAGAGGTGGAGTCCTGTGTCAGCAGCTGAAATGCCCTCTGAAGGAACTTGCAAGGCAGCCGAGGTGCTTACCTGGGATCCCTAGATAGTGTGTACCAGTCAGTACAAATAGTCTCCCTATGCCTATGCTGAGAATTAAACCACTCTTCAGCTAGAAGACCAGTCCTACTCTGGAGCCTTTAAAGATGCTCCTCATTCTGCACTTTCATACTGCTGGGTTGGGCAAATCAGTGCTTGGTTATGCTTTAAATATTCATTAGGGAGGGAAGGGAGAGAGGGTTAATATTTGTACTACTAGTGACAATTGATAGCTTTCAGTCAAACAGCCAGAGGAATAACACATGTGAAAAGGACATGTATCCAGATTGGAAGCGGAGTGGTAGGTGCCTGAATACTTCTCAGTCGACAGTAATGTGTAAGGCTTTCTTGGTATACAGTATTACGTTTAGGTAGCTTAATTTCATGTGATCTGAAAGACTGAGCAAATCTTGCTGCAAATGAAGAATGGTTCTAAACTAGTACATTAGTACAAAGGCAACATTACAGAAAGTACAGTTTAAGATCCCACATCTATTATGCAGGAGATATCATCTGCTTTGTTACATGTACGTTAGTGGATTTCGATGTCTAGTTTTGAAGGGCTGCAACGTAGATGTCCTAAAAGAAGTCAATTTATTTCTTCTGTCTTGCTAGTGGATATGCTATAGGTACGTTGAAGACTCACCTTTTTTTTAGTAGAAGAGGGCTACAGGTATGCCCAGATGGATATCCATAGAAAATAGAGGTCCAAAAGTCTACTGAATGTCAATGGTGCTTTCTGGAAACAAGTAGATGTGCCAGATTCTCAGTAATTTCTTCTCTAAACAACTGACTTATTTAGACTTCTTATGCATAGCCCCTGGTTCCCACTTTCTGTTGTCAAGTGGGGGAAAACAAATTCTGCATATTGTTCTGCTTTGAAACAAACCCTGGAAATCATAATTTACTGTCCTCGTACAGACAGATGGACAGGGAAGATGATCACAGTTTTGCTCAGGTCACAATGGCACAGTTCAGCCCTTAGCATGCTATTGCACTATACCAAAAAAGAAAAGGGAATGTTAATAGGAACCTCTCACCCTTTTAGTTTGGAGGGGTTTTTAATTCTCTAGCTCCTAAGCAGTAAACCATTTGGAGCCTCTGTTGGCCATTTAAATGATTGCTGAGGAATGAACTGGTGTGTTCTGCATGCCGTAAAGGCTGTATGGCTGTCAGTGTCTTAACTGTTGGAGCACAGCGGTTTTCATTAGTTACGTTGTTGCTTGAGAATGCAGCACGGTTAATGATTTTGGGAAGCTTTGCAGAACAGCTTTATTTACAGAATCCCACCATACCTCATAACTCAATTAAACTTCTTCCATCCTTCTGCCCATTCACTCCCTCTGAGGATCAAGGCTCACCACTTGAACTCTCCGTAGATGATGTATATTGATAGATGTCAAATGCAAGGATGTAAATCTTTTCACCCTTAACAGGTTTTTCACTGCTATCAATGTAACAATTAAAAAGCCTTTGTTTTTTAAAGAAAGCTCTTAATTATTTTGTATTAGCAGATTATTGCTCTGCCTTAGAGACCACCACGCATGTGAAATTGCATTCTCTTATTGCCAGCCAGCGCAGGGTGGGTTCCAAGACTTCTGTTAGAAGAAGCCGTCACTTTTAGAAGCGCCACAAATCTTTCAGCTGTCTTGGCTATAACCCAGTCTGCGTGGGTTCATGTTCCTTCTCTTTTTATTCTCCTGGTCTTCCTTGTTTACAAGGCGTGAGCATGTTGGGCTCTGGATCGCTGTTACTCAGTTTTCCGTTTCTGGGCACGGTGTGCTTTCCAGAAAAGAGAATTGTTTACACAGGTGACTTTTCACAGTGAAATGGTTTTCCCAAAGTATATTCTTACACCAAGTTTTAATTTAGACAGTGAAGTCCTTGGCTCCGCAGACAGATTTCTTCTGGCAGACCCTTATGTATAGAATCTCATCTGGTTGCTGATGTTCTGTATGGATGTGGAGTCCACATAAATTGTCTACACTTTCAGACTATTGCCCTGCTTCTTGCCAATCCTTAATTTTTCCCTTTCCAGATGATTGCTTGTCCTGTATTTTATAGTCTGAAGCTTCCCCATATTAAAGATAGGTGTAAGATAAAATCTTCAGAAGTGCCTAAGCCCTGTTGTTATCCAGTGGGGTTTAAGAACAAATTTTTATTTAAGAAATTAATAAAGTAGTCTTAAATTATATCTGTGTTGTGTGTAGCAGCGTCAAGAAATGACAAGTTTATAGTTCTTGGAAGAATCGGCCGTCTCCTACGAACTCGCCCTTTGTGTCTGAAAGACTCTAACGGTCTCCAAAGGTCGTGGCTGAAAGCTCTGGAAAATGGATTTTTTTGTGGTCACAGCAGTCAGAGATATGTGAATGCCTTATCTTGTTTTGTGAGGTGTGACTGAAAGTGTGTGGCGCTGGTGGGTAGAAATTCTTTGTCAAAAATAGGTGCGGTAGAGTCCAGTTAAAGGCATTGTGAAATAAGTAGCTTTTACACCAAACCTTAAACGAAAGAGTATTTTACACCAGAATGTAGCTGTTTGGATGCTTGGTCAAGATAATACAAGGCTGCAAGCAGGTTACAGTGTTGAACGTTCTCTGTGTAAATATATAAATATTCTCAGCCTAATTTTATCAGACTAACACATGTTGCATGATTTGGCGTTTTGTTTTTTTTTTTTGCGTCATTGATCATCAGTGTTGATTAAAAGATGATGGGTTGAAAATCATGCTGGCACTGTACTGAGCCCTTTGAACAAAGAGCAAGGAGAACCTTTGTGCACCAAAAATGGAGTTGACTTTGCATATGGCAGCAGTGAAGAAAATGTTGGACCCTGCGGCCAATAAACAGACCTCTTAAACCACCGTGAATTCTGTTAATAGTGTTTTCTCTCTACTGTGCCTAGTGGTGTTTGAGTTTGAATGTGTTCCTTACTGGTGGCAAGCATAAATGGCAGAATAATGCTCTGTGGCCCTCGTGGTAAGCATTGGCAAATACACACTCAAGAGGCAAAGTAGCCTCTTTACTCTTCCTTCTTTTTCCACTTTGAGCGAAGCTGAATCTTTCAGTGATCAGCCTCTGACAACTTGAGATTGTGTAAGGGGGAAGAAGGTAAAAGTCAACATACTCCTGAATTTGTTTTAAAAAACCTTTTGTTTTTTTCCTTTAGATGTTAGCATTAAAAAACCAAAAACAACAAAAAAACACCCCCAGCCCTTCTAAACTGATTTGCGTTTTGTTTTAAACTTAATGATGTAGTCATTAACATTTAGGTTTGTGCAGTGTATAATATTGAGAGACTGATGGCTGTAATGATTTCTTCCTGATGAACTCAGGAGGAACTTCAATATGGGTTTGT